CCTACATGCATGACTCCATGTTTAAACCACACTATCTTCCTTTAGGTTTGAATATAGAATCCTTTACTCCAACTCACCAGCATTTCATTAGATATTTTGCAATTAACAAAACAATTTCTTCTTCTTTTTTGTGCACTCTACATCAGCAAACGTACCTTTGATCATCTCCTTCCAAGAAAGAAACTGAAATAAAGGATCCTTGGTAATCCAAAGAAAGAAAAAACTACATCCATTGCTGCTAAAGCCTCTCCTCTCTCGATTGTCTAGCCACCTTTTCATGTTGTATCGATGGTAATGGGCACGCACATAGCCAGGCATGTGCGCACACCTAACCTTTCGTTACTGCTTCTGCTTTTGTCTTTATCACAATTGCTCTTTTTCTCAACCGGTGACGGTACAGATATGGAGAACCTTTTAATATTCAAGGATTCATTAGCAAACCCCGCGAATCTCAGGAACTGGAACGCTTCCGTCCGTCCATGCAACGGGGATCAAGCAAACTGGATGGGCGTGATCTGCGTTGGAAACAAAATATGGGGTCTGCAACTCGAAAACATGGGCCTAGGAGGGAAGGTGAACCTCGAAATCCTCGATGAAATGCCTACGTTGCGCATCATAGGCCTGATGAACAACAATTTCGAGGGCAGAATCCCTGAGATGAAGAAACTAGGTGAGTTGAAGGCTTTGTATTTGTCAAACAATCACTTTACCGGGGACATTCCTGGTAATGCATTCCAAGGTACGAGATCCTTGAAGAACCTGTTTCTGGCGAATAATGGCCTCACAGGTGAAATTCCGTCGTCGCTGGCGGAGCTGCCGAATCTTTTAGTCCTGAAACTGGAGGGGAACCAGTTTGCGGGTCGGATACCTGATTTTAAGCAGAATGTGAAGGTGGCCAACTTTGCTAACAATGAGCTAGAAGGTCCGATCCCTGCAACTTTAAGCAGCATGAGTGCAAGCATCTTTACAGGTAGCTGTTGCATTCATGCATTTATAGATTAAAAATGCTTGTATTCATCTTCCTGCCCATTAATTGTAATTGTAGTCCATCTTTAAATGGGGGGAAGTTTGAAAGTTTTCTGTTGAGGTTGAGATAAAATTATAAGTTTTTTTTGGGGGGGGGAGGGGATAAAGTTAAAATATTTTATGTTATAAAGATTAAATTAAATTCTTAATTTTTGAGAAACATCTATTTTATGTACTTAAATATTACTACATATAGTTCCTTTCAAGAAAAAAAAATGTATTACTTGCAGTTTTTCTCTTGTTAGTTCTATTATTTTATAAAAACAAATTGTAAAAATGTATTACTTACTATTAGATAATGATCCCATTTTATTATTTATATTTATTTTTAAGATTTTATACTTGCTTTCAATTTCGAATTATAGTTTAAAATCAATCATATTTAAGATTTAGTACGTGTTTATGGCTTGAGTATTCAATTTTTTATATTAGTTTTAGTTAAAATTAAATTGATGTTTATAGTTTTTCTATGTGATAATTATAAAGTAGTATATATTCTAGATATTTCTTAGTCACTAATAACACACACCCTACGTGTAGATGTAGACGAAGAGGAGAACAATATTTTTTTTAGACATTAAAATTATTTCACTGATTTTTATAGATGTTACATGTTAAAAAGCATAATGGAAATTTATTAATATCAACATGCGAATTTACATGCACATCGAATAATGAAATGCCAAATATATTGATGAGCATAATGGTGTCAGGTTTTCATGTTTTAACAGCTTCTTAGTTGAAATGCATATATGTATATAAATGTTATTGCAGGCAACAAAAATTTGTGCGGGCCACCTCTGGAGATCAAATGCCCCGTGACCAGTCATCCACCACCTGCCCCAGCTACACCATCACCAACCGCCGCCGCAGCTAGCCGCCCTAGCCCCCAAGTTTCGCCCTTATATAAAAGGACAACATCAGCTCTGGAAATTGCACTGATCCTGATATCTATACTGTTACTGTTGGCACTCATTGCAGCAATCATTTTCATTCTGTGCAAAAGGAAACAAAAACGTGGAGCATCAAAGGAATGGGATGGTGATGACTCCTACAAGTTGTCAGCTGCCAGCGTGGACCAAGAGAAGAGTAAGTTTTCCGAGTGTGGAAGCATGGTGAAGAGGAACGTGGACTACGGGAAATTGATATTCTTGAAGGGCGAAGCCGATAGGTTTGATCTGCATGATCTGTTGAAAGCGTCGGCTGAGGTTCTTGGAAGTGGGAATTTTGGGGCTTCGTACAAGGCGGTCATAATGAGTGGAGAAGCTTTGGTGGTGAAGAGGTACAAACAGATGAACAATGTGGGGAGGGAGGATTTTCATGAGCATATGAGAAAGTTGGGAAGGTTGAACCATGAAAACTTGCTGCCACTTGAGGCTTATTACTATAGGAGAGAAGAAAAGTTGTTCGTTTGCCATTTCATGGAGGATGGCAGTTTGGCCAGTCATCTTCATGGTAAGTTAAGTTTTTGGTTGCCCATAATCATGCCTATGATGATAATTATGACTTTTTTGAGAACATAACAATTTCAATTATTGTTATATCTACGAATTTTCTTCACTAATAATTTCTCTTACCATTAAAATTTTCGAGATAAGAGGAGATCTTAGAAGAGTTTTCCTCCACCAACCACAGATTTTGGTGTTTCATACATTCCGATCAATCATCTTCTCTTGACATGATTATTGACAGACTCACGTGATTTGTCAAAACTAAATCTAATGCTAGATGGCCATATTCACGTGAGCCTATGAATATCAATCATAATCCTAAGCTTTACATTGACTTTAAGAATCACTATAAAGTCTCTCCCACCAAATTAAAAGGACTTCCCTTTTCATTTTTTAAGCCTCATATCTATTAGATATTAAAAAACCATATGACGTTAACCATAAGTATAATAACCATTGATCATTGCTTGCGACTTTATGCTAAAAAATTTTGATTATTAGATATAGTCCTAAAACTTCTCCCTTGGTAAGGACTGTTTAGTTTAATTAATAAAAGTTAGTAATTATTTACACTTGTTTTGTCTAGGCAATCACTCATCAGATAAACCCAGTCTTGATTGGCGAACTCGATTGAAGATCGTAAAGGGCATTGCCAGAGGTCTAGCATATTTGTACAACGAACTCCCCATCCTAGTGGTACCGCACGGTCATCTGAAATCTTCCAACGTGCTTCTAAACGAGAATTTCGAGGCACTGTTATGTGACTACGCTCTAAGACCGGTGATGAACCAGGAGCAAGCCCACATGCACATGACTGCCTACAAATCACCGGAGCATGCCATAAACGGTCGCATCAACAGGAAAACAGACGTGTGGTGCCTTGGAATACTGATACTAGAGATCTTAACAGGTAAGTTCCCAGAGAACTATCTAACACCAAGTTATGACAGCTACAACAATCAAGCCACATGGGTGAATGAGATGGTTAAACAGAAGAGAACCGGTGAGCTTTTTGATATGGAGATGCTGGGAACTAAGAACAGCAAGGGAGAAATGATAAATCTTTTGAAGATTGGGTTGAGTTGCTGTGAAGATGATCCTGAAACAAGACCGGAGTTGAAGGAAGTAGTGCGAGAGATCGAGGAGTTGAAGGATAGAGATGAGCGTGAGTTCTCGTCGACATTAGGTGAAGTAAATGCAGTTATCTCCGGTAGAAAGGTGAGGGGTGGATTTTCATCCTTTAATCTTTGAGCATTTCTATGTATTGTGGGTTTAGTTGATAGTAATTATCTTAATCTCTCTCTCTCTCTCTGTGTCTTAGATAGTTTCTAAATTACATGCTGAATGGATTCCATGAATAAACAACCATGAAAGCTGTTGATGTAATGTTGGGATCTTGATTCTAATAATATAGATCTCTTCCATGCACAACAAAACTCCATCTAATTTAGTATTAAATTAGGGTTATTAATCAGGTCAGGTCTTCTTCAATCTCTAGGGACAAGCCCAAACACATCTTTAACTAAAAAAAAGTTCCGTTCAGCCTAGAATTAGAGGGGGAAATGGATTACGTGAGGTGAATATTTTGGAAGGAGGTCTCAGCTATGGTTCATTTTTTTATATCCATGGAATTTAATTTGATTATTCATTATTTGATTTAGGGTAAACCATGTGTTTAGTCTATCATTTTAGTTTCTTTTTGGTCATCCGACGATTAATTTTTTAAAATTACATTTTAGTATCATTTTAATCCCATCTTTAAAAAATTAATGAGATTTCATACTGTTAGAGCAATGTATACGGAAATTAAAACTTTAGTGGCACTTTTAAAAATTTTATGTACTTTTTATTATTATTTAAATTATTGTTTAAAATGTTAAAAACATTAAAATAAAATTTTGATTTTAATTAAGGGTTGAATATGATATTATCCGTTAATTCAATATGCCAACGAAGGTACTGGCCATTTTGTAATAAAATCAAAATTTTAGTATTATTTTTATAATTTTTAAAAGTTTAATGCTAATTTTGAAAATTTAATACTCTTTTGTGAAAATTACACAAAAACAATTGAACGACCCTAAAGACCAGGGATACGAGTTTCTTCTCATTCTAACGCTGACAGACAAATCGGTCGCCCTATCTGATTACCCCAACCCATTCGGCTAATCTTCCAAAAAAAAAAAAAGGAAAAAAATTACTGTTATTCAATTACCCTAACTCAACCGGCTAGCTAATCCTTTTTCGTTGCACTGCTGCCATATTCAAGTAAGCTGCTTGTCTCTTAAAGGTTTCTGCTTCATTTACCATGTATTACTAAACATATTCTGCTTGTTTTATTCAAAGAATAAGAAAAAACCAGCCTTTTCCGTTGCAGCTCTTCACTTGCTCTTCTGGGAAAATAATGAACGCTTCCAGCAAATAGTTACTAGCTTATATAGCTAATGTGAATAGCTTTGATTATTTTTGTTCTTGTGAATGTTGATTACTTTACTTGATTTCACTATTATACTTGCTTCTACGGTCTTCGTTTTAATGGGAATATTGCTCTTTTCAGCTTTGTTTTTTTCAGTGTGAATTCTGACATTTATGCTTGGGTTTCTCTGGGGGTGTTAAGGAAAGTTCCCCCACATGTCCATTAAAACCTTCTCATTTCACTGGAGTTTGAAATCCCTGTCTCCAAACACCAGTTTTCTCCCTTTTCTTCACAGATGCTCTCCGAATGCTCTCCCCCTCTCATTTCTTCACTACCCACGAAGCCGTTCTCCGAAGCCATGTGTTCCTCAACCCATCTTGTCCCAATCCCATCCCTGTAACCAAAGTCCTCATGATCTAACACAAGCCCGGGAGTCTATTGCAGGGTACCTCCAGCAAATGGGGCTTTCATTGGAGGAATCCATCTCTATAGCTTCTAATTCCCCCAAGTACACGCAAATGCTGGTGGATGGTGTCAAGGAACTGGAGGAATGGAATGCTTGGAATAATGGTGAAGGGGATAATTTGGGGTTTAAGGAAATGGTTATTTGTATTGCCAATGAGAAGGGTGATAATGGAAAGGTTGCCTTTTTGGAGAGTGTGGGTTTGCCTCTCTCTTCTGCCATGGGCATTGCGCGTTATTTGACCTCAGAATCTCTGCCCAGTATAATTCATAAGGTTAGCGAGAAAGCTCATTAAGTTTATGTATATATGTTTTCTACCCCACTTTTTGGTTTGTCACTCAGTAATGCATTCTGATGATCTTTGTTTTGAAAGTAACTCGAATTTACAAAATTCTAGATGTGAAATCATGTTTCATAGGCATTATTTGAATCATGCTTGTCCTTTTTGAATTAATTTGGCCTCAAAAATAGAAACAAAAACATGTGAGCTTTACAAATGAGGAGTTTAACGAAGCAGCCAGAACATCACCCTAATTTTTTCACGTTGAGACACAAGTTGACAAAATCAAATTGTGAACAATGACACCATCACGCCTTAACAGTTACCAGAATGCAGGAATGTTATGGGCTCATATTGTAGGAACTGATGGATATTTTTCAAATTTAGGCAGTATTTAAAAGACGTACCTCTTGATTTCATATGTTGACCTATGATTTGTTGTTTGAGTGTTCCTAGCTATTTCAATTTTTGGTTGAGTTCATACCCCATATTAGTTTCATTAAATAGAAAATTTTCCTGCATAATTGTTTTTCTTTTTGTTCCATATATTATAAGTGAATGACCATTAGGGACTAATTTTTCATGGAGATTTCTTTGACAGATTATATTAGTCTTCTTATTTTCTTCTATAAGCACTGTATTTAAGAAGGCATATGTAGGAAAAAACCTTTGAATTTTTTCTTTTGTATTAACCCTAAAGTGATAATTAGGCCAATTTTTTTTTGGTTTTTGATGGCTTGCTTAGTAGTTGGCGTACATTAGTATTTGACCTACCATATGATCATTGATCAAGCTAACATCTAGTTGTACTCTTGCATTCTTACATGCTCACTCTTCAGTTCATCATCTATTCATTTAGAAGTCTTTTTATCTATGGAATGATCGAAATGTAAATAACCTGTTACAAGGATTTTGGTTATTGGATTTGACGTGTCTAACCTACTGCCTTTTCTTTTTAAGGTTAAAATATTTTTCGAATACTTCACCTTTTGGGTGGTAAAAATCTAAAGAATTCCTTTTGTATATTGGCCATAACTTTGTTCTTTTGGTAACCAGCCCTAATGATCCTTTGGTAGAATATGTGCATGTTCCTGAATCGTAGCTTGGTGCTAAGTTTTTTTTTAATTTTTTTTTTTGCTTTAGTACAATGCTCCTTGTTTTTGTTTTTAAGCTCTTATAGTTGTATCTTGTTGATGTAGGAGAATTTTAAAATTATAGCTTTTAGCCAATCTGATCAAGAAACAATAATGTGATACTTATCTTGCTTCAAATGAGTTCTGCTCTTTCGTGAATCGACCTAAACGAGCTCTTCATCTAAATTTGTTTCCTGGAGTCATTACTTATTTTGGATTTGACTTTTAGGTTAAGTATATGAAGGAAATAATCTTTTCTGTCAGTGATGATAAAGGGATTATTGGGAAAAATGCTCGTCGAATGATGATGCACTTGTCAATTCCTTCTGATGAAGATGTGCAACAAACATTATCCTTCTTTGAGAAGGTATAATATGACTTCCAATCTTTTACCTTATGTGAAATGATATCATGTTTTCTTGCCAAATAATTTTTGTTCCCCCCCCCACCCAAACTTTTCAATCGGCATTTCAGTTGTTCAGTTGCTTCCTGTCATGACAAAATTAAGCAATATATGTTACAGATTGAAGCAAGACGTGGAGGTTTAGAGATGTTGGCTTCATTTGATGTTTCTTTTAGATTTCTGTTGGAATCATTTCCACGTCTTTTATTGTTACCGGTGGAGTCACATTTGGAACCTATTGTTGATTTTCTTGAAAATGTCAGAGTTCCAAGGAGATCTATGGGAAAAGTATTTTTGTTGTTTCCCCCCATCTTGTTTTGCAAGATTCAGGGCATTAAATCAAAAGTTTCGGCTTTTGAGAAGGTACCTTTCATAATTTAAATTCTAAACTGAGTACTGTTCTTTATTTGCAAATGAGATGAACACCTTTCTTTTTTTGTGGATGGCATTCTATTTTAAATTTTAATATGATTTATATGTTGTTTGTCCATAATTGAAGTATTATTTTTATGAATTTTCTTCTAGGTTGGTGCAGCATATGAAGATATTGGGAAAATGTTGCTAAAATATCCGTGGATACTTTCAACAAGTATTCAAGAAAATTATGAGCAGATCCTTTTGTTTTCTGAGGAAGAAAAGGTATACTGATTTTATAACCCAACTTGACCTCCTAACTAGGGTGTATTTGATATACAACAATATAAGAAAGCAGTTATGTCAGTTCACAGTCATGTATTGACTAATCTTAGAAAGTCAGCTGTAAATTCTGGTAGAAGTAGTTAATGAGATTTGCCTTTTAACTCATGTAATACTCGTTCTTTTCTATCTTGACTAATAATACAGATTCTGCTTCTCTTTTCTCTCAATTTTCTTGACTTCTTCTTTGACTTCACTCAAGAGTTGTTCTTTCTCATTAACTCTCTTGTGTTTAGCCTTGACTAACCAATGCACAACAGTCTTACATTTGCCTTATATTCATGTGCTTGACTGTATACTCGGATTATGTGTGATTGTGTTTTGATTTTATCATGATATTCATGGTTTGTTTACAGCTTAATTGAGGTGCTAATGTTTTTTTATTTGTTTTGAAATTGTTAATTGAATTGTTAATAAAAAATAACCAGGAGCTTATTTTTTATAGTTACTAAAAGAAGTTGTTTGAGGATATGATAGTCTCTGAAAGTTGCCATTTGGGTCTGAGAATGTATTCTCCATAGGCAGTTTTATTCTTCTTTGACACTTCCAATTTTATTAATGGACAACCTTTTTTTGTTTTGTTTAATGCTCTTTATTGGTAAGTATTTTTCTTTCCATTTAACCGGACAAGTAATTATGGTTCTGTCAGGCACCTAAAGTTGGTGTTTTGCATCATTTGATTGTATCTCCAAGCATAAATATTCTCAATTGAAGTCATAAACTTGGCTAGACATTTGCATTGTCTTCATTTTCTTTTTTATCGGGATAATGTTTTGTGATGAATTGGATAATATTTGGCTTTAGATACCAAAACCGAGTGTCGATCGAGCAATTAGAAGCTGGCCTCATTTATTGGGTTGTTCTACAAGCAAGCTTAAGTTGATGGTGGATCAGTTTGGTGAATTGGGTATTAGAAACAAGAAACTTGGTCGGGTTATTGCCAAAAGTCCCCAACTGCTATTAAAGAAACCTCAAGAATTTCTCCAGGTTGGTCAAATGTTTGTGTTTTTGAGATACATTTTTTACCAACTACCTTTTGCAGTTTATTCTTCATCCCATCTCTATATGTTGAATGGCCTCTTAAAAAAACAACTAGCTTTAACATACTCTTTTTTTTATGAAAAGTGGATATTTTATTCCTGAATGAAATAGGAAAACACTATGCTCAGGGTCTCATTAAAAAACCTCCCTAACCCTAGATGGAGGAAAAAGAGTACCCCGAGCACAGTTTACATGGAAACAGCAGAAACTTAAAACTCAGTACAGCACTCCTCGGACCACAGCCCCAATTCTTTAACTCTCTCAAAAATGAAGTCACAACTTATGCCCAGAAAACCAAGACCACATACCTGAAACAAGAGCAGTAAGCTCTTCCTAACCAGGAGGGAAGCCTAAAGCTAGCTTAGCTAGCTGATTGGCCGCCAGATTGTATCTCCTAGGGACCTGCTTCGCTATGAAATTCTCCCAATCTATTATTTCTGCCGCAGGTCGGAGAGACTGCACCCATTCCGGGGGATGCGGGGTTGCGCAACCAATTCACCACTATTGCACAATCACTTTCTAAAATCAACTTGGCGGCCTTGAACCATTCTGACCCCAAAAATATCCTAATAGCGTAATCCGCTGCCAAAATCTCCTCTTGCACCAAGGAACCACCCCCAATTGGTACCGGAAAAGTTGCTAGTGTGTGACCATTAGGGTTTAACAACTCCATGCTATATGTTTAAAGGAATGGACATGCAGTGCTGACATGAAAAAATATGAGGATGCTATCCTTCCCATGGTCCTATCAGTTGCTCGTGGACAGTGCCTTGTACCTTTCTGTTTCTACGGATGTTTCGTTATAATTTATCTTAATGATGTTGTAACCATACATATAAATTCTAATTATTGAGAAAGTTTGAAAACTAGACTTATGGAAGGTATCCATCCCTTTTTTGATGCTCCATAATCAATTCTTCCTTGTTGAACTGATTGACTGAAGTTTGATCACACACAACACGCTCACAGGAAGACATATATTTCAGACAGAGGGAGAGGGTCGGGGTTGCTGATGTCTCCTCTGGCTTTTCAATTTTTTGATACTTCTTTCCTTTTAGTTAATTCATTAGCAATAACATGTTTTCATTGCCGTGAAACCAGATTTTTGTTGATTTCTGGGTATTAGGGACAACTCCAGGAGGCCAACTTTGCTGTTTTGCAGTGATCAAGATTGATTGATTTGTTTCTTCAACTGCATAATCCTAGCATGTTGTTTATGAAGCTTAGGTGCTTCTTAAATATAACTTGTATCTCCTCAAGGGTTGTAAAACAGACAAGTCCCCAAGGATTATGAAAGTGAAATTCTGGCATTAAATCTTAACTTCGAAATAATTTATTCATTTTCGGTTTCAATAAATGGACTTGATTTTGCACTGTTTTTGCTTTTGATTTATTCTATTATATATATATATATATATTATTTTCTTATATAATTATGATTATTTCCCCTTTTACAGGTTGTTCTATTTTTCAAAGGTCTCGGTCTTGATCAGGAAAGTGTGGGAAAGCTACTCTCTCGCTGTCCAGAAGTTTTTTCTGCCAACATCGATAAAACTTTGAAGAAAAAGGTTGAATTTCTTGCAGAGTTTGGTATTTCCAGAGACCACCTTCCTATCGTCATCAAAAAATATCCAGAGCTTCTTGTGTCTGACGTGGAGAAAACACTGCTTCCTCGGTAATGCTTTTTATTTCAGTACACTTTGTCTATATTAGTTGAGGTTTTGGTGTGGTGGAAGAATAAACAAATATCAACCAGGCCTCTCAGGGAAAAAACTTTCCAAAAAGAAAATAACATATAATGAAAATCTGAGTGGCACTAATGCCATTGTAGAAGGTATTGAAGGTATTGGCTGAAAGGAAAAGGTACTAAGGCTTTGCTTGGTATGAAGGATGGAAAATTTGTTAATCAAATGGTTAAGATTCATAACCACTTTCTTACTTTGAATCTTAACCATTTGATTAACAAATTTTCTATCCGTCCTCATTTCCATCCTTAATATCAAGCAAGGCCTAAAACTCTTCAGATTTTCCATCAAGTTATAGATCACAAACGAAACGAGTTTTGATGTCAATGCCACATACCCTTCTAATATTGAGGTGCAATGTGTTGAACCAACTTAGGAATGGATATGAAAGTTGGAAATATAAACATTTGGTGTCATGCTTTGTTATTTTTACTTCAATTTTATGGTGAAGACTATGTAAAGTTACAGATTATGCAGTGATGAAAAAAATCAGTGGTGTTGTAACTCAATCAAGTTGTTATATGAACAGGATTAATTATTTGATGGAGATGGGGCTGTCGAGGAGGGAGATCACTTTTATGGTGCGTAGGTTTTCCCCGTTACTAGGATACAGCATCGAGGAGGTATTAAAACCAAAACTGGAATTCCTTTTAAACAGCATGGGAAAGCCAGTGAAGGATGTGGTGAGGTATCCAAGGTTCTTCAGTTATTCACTGGAGAAGAGAATAAAACCCAGATTCTGGGTACTTAAGGGAAGGAATATTGAATGCAGCTTAGAAGAAATGTTAGGGAAAAATGACCAAGAGTTTGCTGCTGAGTTTATGGGAATGCCTTTCGCTACTTTTCAATGAATTGTTTGAACGTTGAAGTGTTTGTAAATTCTTGTTTTTTTGGCAGTGTTGTAAATGTCTTAGTTATGCAATGGCAAGGCAAGGGGGATCTTTTTTATTCCATCGTCCTTTCCAGCTGAGCTTCACATTTCATATGCTTTGCATGTGTCCTGACATACAATGTGCTTTATTTGTTCTTCCGCTCCAGCTCATTACAACCATTTTTCAACTGTTTGTATCTTCCCACCAAGTATTAAAAGAACATCAACTGCTGATGCCAAACCTGTTTAGTAGCATGTTCATTGTAAACTCTGTCACACCATTAATTTTTGACAAAAGTCATCAAAGGCCCCCTGTATTTTTTAAGGAGAATCAACGTGATCCTCATATTTTTTTTTTCTTTTATTGTGGCCATCAAACTCAATGTGGTATTTTAATCAACTTTTTTGTTGTTTGATGTGGCAATTTTATCTGTAATGTTTGAGTTATCAGTTTAACTCATCTGTCACCGTAGATTACCACGGAAACACGGCGAACTGTCCCGTCAACCCTGTGAACTGCTACATCACATCGTAAAGGTAAACGACAAAAAACATTGGTCAAAAAATCACATTGAATTTATTTTCTGAATTAAAGAGTCACGTTAAGAGGGGGGAAATATGATGGCCACATTAATTTTTTTTTAAGTAAGGAACCTTATACCTCTTTACCTTAATTTTTTTCCAACCCTTTTTCTATTAGTATCCGCGGACGATGGTGGTTGTAAATATTTATTTTCTTTAACCTTTATTTCCCCACGATTAATTTTATTTTATTTTACTTTTGAATATTTCAATCTTTAACTCAATTTATTTTCTTTTTCTAACAGAAGTTCTTATGTAATTGTTTATTTTCTAATAATAATATGACATAGAAACCTTTTAAATAATATGGAAAAACAATATATTTTGATGTAAAAGAAAAAGACAAACTCATTCCTATAAAATCCATCCCATAAAAATGCTCCTGTAACAGATAGCCATTTCGGAATTAACTTCAAATCTTGATATCTCATAAGTTGAAGACTAACTAACCACTGGGCCTTGGCTGTTCGAGGAACCTTCTTTATTCCTATCATTTTCAAGCTATTTTATTTTTTATTTGTAAATTAATGGGTTTTTAACGATTTACGTTTGTTTTATAGATATTTTGGGTTCACCGCTATTTCTTTTTAATTCCAAATCAGCCTTTTTTTCAGTTTGACACATCATTAAAAAAATTTGCAAAAAGAAAAAATCACTTCACTGAGAAAGATTTTATACCAAACACTTCGACCTCGAAACACATTTATTCCTTGTGTGTCAAATTTCATTTAACAAACGACTAGAAAATGGTAATGAAATGAAACACTAGTTTGACAAGGAAAATGTTAGGTGCCTAAAAAAGTATATTTTGTCATTTTGGGGACTTGTTCTGTAATAAAGCCTAAAAAGAAAGTTAAAAGTGACAAGTGTTATCATTGTGGTTAAGAAAGCATTCGATCATTACGTATAAACTGAAAATAATATTCTCAATTGATACGATAGAAATCAAATTAATTCACAACTTTATTCGCACAATAATACACAACTATAATACAAAATCCAACACAAATAATTTGAAAAATTATTATTAGTATGAAAGTAAAACTAATTTAGTTTTATGGAAACCGGAACTATCCAATTTCTCTCTATGTAGTAAATATTTATATACCAATCAGACTTGGTAAGAACTTTGACAACATGCAAAAGACATTCATAACATTATCTCAAGACAGAATATCAAAATCAACGGTTTCAGACAGTGAACCAAACATGAACATGGCATATTATCCATAAAACAAAAATTTGATACCTGCAGTTGATATCACTGCTGGTTCTGCTGCCTTTGCTGTACAAAATTGGGGTTATTTTGAAGAGCTACCATATTAGATTGCAAATTCTGGGCAGTGCCCATATTACCAAATGCACCTTGCTGCTGCTGCTGCTGTGGCTGCATGGTCATAAGCCCCCCAGGATTGGATCCCATATTAAACACTGCATGCAAAAATGCCCAAAATCAAAATGTTCAAGTCTCGACTCACATCGAACAGTTCACGAATGAGGAAATAAGCAACCAAGCACCACTAGATATAATATGTTATGCATATATGAAAGAACGTCAAGATCATTATCATTCATACTTTGGTCACTTAAGATTTGAGATGAGTGTGTCCGCTGAGGAGTGCTACCAGGTAGTCCATACTGCAAAAAGAATTGAACTGAATGAATGAGTTACATTATACTTTTTTTTATAAGAATTGGAGGTCTCGTTAAAAAATAAGGGTTTAGGGTTATGACAAAAAATAATGTATGCAGGCATATAAATAAGGACAAATATACAGATGCACTAGATACAAATACAGCTATCGGGAAAAAATGGTTATATGCCAAGGATCTACCCGATTTGCTGCAAAATAATGTGTTTCGGCAATCCAAACTACATAGAGCCTTGAACAAGATGTGACAATCTCTAACAGCATGAAAGGGAACACGACTGAGAGCTGGGAAACAAGAAGATTACTATACTGCACTTACCTAAGTTTGCATCTATGGCCAAAGCTCCCTTACTCTTATTTTTACGCTTTTTTAACTAACTTCTCTTTCTAGTTTATTAGATAATAAATACAAATGCTAAGGACCGTCAACAATGTGTTTAAAATAAAATAGGAAAAACAGATATTACTAATCAGTCGTATACAGAGAACCAAAGATCAAAGGCTTAGCTAACAGCTCTTTTAGTCTTTCTTTATTTAGAGTCCTTATTTTTAATTTTCTTACTTTTAAGTCTTTTATTCAAACAAGTAAACCTAAGTAACCTCTATTTAAAGAGGATGGTTGGCAGCAATAAAGTTAAGTCAGAATTTTTTTAATTACAGAGGTTTAAGACATATTTCTAAGAAGACTAAGGTTGGTAACTCCCTTTGACGAGTTGCACGCATTTTTCATGGGTCACTCTTGCGGTATGAATCGTATAATGGGGAAAGCCCCCTTGATCGAAGCAGATTTCCTTACAAATTGTCTGGGTAACCGGATCCGTAACCTGTGAACATAACTTGGCATCAGAGCCAGACACCATGGGAGATTCCAACATCAAAGAAGAATTGAAACAAGAGTGGTGGAATGGTTGCAAGTGTCATACTACTCAAGACCAAATTGGATAGTCAGTTGAAACAACTGTTGCTACAATGACAAGTGCTGGTTGGTCTCAATCAAAACCGCCAAAGGGAGTCAGATGGGGCAGCGAAAGTATTAATCACTTCGGTATTCATCCTTACAAACTGGACAATCAACTAAGATATGGGGCATGACAGGCAGGCAGTATTAGGTTCGAGTGTATGCATAGCAACACCCCCACTTCTTTTATCAAAAAGTTGAGTAGTTCAGAGATGGCAGAATGAAGGGCCAAGTGTCTATGCTTCAACTGTGACGGCCCGTACTCCATTGCGCAATGTAAAAAAATATTTTGGTTAGAGAAAAAGGATCATGATGAAGATTGCGTTGAATCAATGACGAAGAGAGGCAATGATTATTATTTTTAGAAAGGAAATATAATTTCCTTGGTTTAAGTTTTTTTTCCAAACAAGTAAACCTATGTAATCTCTATTTAAATAGCCTGACTGGCAGCAACAAAGTTAAGTCAGAATTTTATTTTAATTACAAAGGTTTAAGACATTCTTTTCTAATGAACTCCTTTTGACTAGTTCCACACGTTTGTCATAGGTTACTCTTGCGGCAAAACTCATAATGAGGGAAGCCCACCCAATCAAAGCAACTTCCCCTACAAGTCATTCAGTAACCCGATCCTTAACTCGTGGATGTAACACAAGTCTAGAGGTAAAACCAATGATTCAGTTCATAACAAGTGAAAGTTTCAAAGCTTTTAAATATGCACCAGATCTGCACCATCTAAATACCCAAGAACAAGGAATTATGAGGTTTCTATAGGAAATTTCTAGAAGCAAATCAAACAAACAAGAATTTGTACACATCACCCACTCAGAACTATGGAACTGAAAATTTCTAAGCTTTTGATATTTACACAAAGGATACCTACAAGGACAGCTCCATTCATGAAGAACATAAAAGCTTAAAATGTCATTTTTAAGGCTAAATACTTATTTCGAACCTATACTATAGTGAAATTCTTACTTTGGCCAATTTACTATTTTTTCAGTCAGATTGTCCCCTGAAATTTCATTCCATTATCACGTTACCCCCTAGACCATTCCCGTTAAAAAAAGTAGACATAGTCCAGTGGCATGCTGCCATTTGTAATAAAAAACATCGATAATTCTTGAAAAAAATCTAAAAAGTTATTTAAAAAACCCCAAATTTTATTAAAAAGAACTGAACAAAATAGAATTTTTTATATTTTTCAATTTTTAGGATTTTTTATATTTTATGATTATTTTAAATAAATTAAGAATAATTACATTTTTAATAAATATAATTTCAAAAAACATAAATTTTGATTTTTTTCATAATTTTCTGGAAACTTTTACATTTTTATGCTTTTATTTAAAAAATTTTGCTATTTTGAGAATATTTTGAACATTTATTACACGTAGCAACTCCTAATTGGGTCCCATGACATTTTTTTAACGAAAATGGTCAAGAACAGAATAGACGGTATGAAAGTTGATTGGAAAAAATAGTAAAGGGAAAACTTGAGAATTTCACTAAAATACAAGGGCCAAAATAGGTATAAGCTTTTCTAAATACTACAATAATAAGAGACGAGATAAATTTAGCAAACTGCATGATTTGCATGAAGAAGGGAAGTCTCACAAAGGAAAAGAAACTCGGCAAAACCATTAGCAACTAACCTGCATCCTTGGTAAGAGTGACTGAGAAGACATAGTTGCAGACATGTTTGGGATCTAAACCAAGACATTAAAAGATTGAAACAATTAAAGAAATAACTTCAATAGAAAAAAGAAGACAAATAAACATTACGAAACTATACAAAGATAAATAAGTAAATTGCATTTATTATTATTGAAAGTGCAACATAAATGACCATAACAAGTAAATAAAAGATAAAACATAGAAAACATTCCAAAA